CGGGGATTTGCAGCTGGCCGAGCACTCTGGCTGGTAGTGGGGAGGCTGCAAACCCTCTTCTTCTGGCTGGCTGCAACACACCTCAATCCCACCCCTGCTCCCATGGGGCACTCCATCTGCCCCACCAGTCTTAGTTCACCAGCCGCGCCTGACAAACACACACACACAGTCTCTTCCTGCCTCATTGCTTTCTGTCTCTCTCTCTTTCCCCCTTCCTCAGTGCACATTCACCCTCCTGTTCCTGGCCTTGGGGTACTGGTGCGCGCCCTGTGCTCTCGTGGTTCAGTGATGCGGCCACGTGGTGCTGGAGCAGTCCAAAAGATGCAGCAGGCAGAGACTTCCAGTGTGGGGGCCAGGAGTGGGAGGGGACTGGAGGTGGGATGGGGTGGGGCAGGCCTTGTTGCTGGTCCCTGCCGGCTCCCCCATGGTCCTACTGCCCCTGGCTCCTGTCATCTTTGACAGGTAGCCAGGAGCAGATAAATATACATTTTCTAAATTTTTTAGGGGCCCTGCAGGCCAGATCGAATGGGCCGGATGCAGCCCACATATTTTGCCCACCCCTGAGCTATTAGGTAAAAGTTCCAAAACCCCACTAAAGTGTCCGATCTGTACAGATGTTGGGCAAGCTGGTATCAATTAATGCACTGCCTCTTCTGGGCATGTGCAGGCGGCCGAGTGCACGCCCCCGCCCCCCCCCCCCCAAAAAAAAAACAACAAAAAAACCAAAAACACCCACCAGCAAAAACGAAAGTCAGCTCCTATTGGTTGAGGCCTTTTTTAGAGAATTTTTATTCAAATGAAAGAAATTAAATATTTTCATGTTCCAGCACTGTTGGTAGAATGTCTGTAAAAAAATATTTTACTGTGACAGCAAACATCATCACGTTTAGCATTTATAAAGAGGTGGGAAGCAATGGCACAAGCCCCTTCCTGCATACATTTCAAACAACACACAAGTCTGTTTGCTGAAATCAGCAGTAACTTAATCACTGGGGTCAGGCCAGAGAATCTTTGCCAACAACAGTAGGTATCATTGCCACATGCAGTTCCCACACAGGCAGTCTGAGGATATGGGGATAGCTATACAGACCATAAAAAAGCATAAGCAACTCCAGAGAAGAAAAACAGCCTTTCCAGGGCCTTTAGTGCTGCCAAAATTAAATGTTTCTATGAGGAAACATTGGAGACTGGCACATGCATTTAAACAGACATGAGCAAATCAGAATTAAAGCACAGAGCAGTTTCATGACTTAAAGGACAACATCTATGAGAATCTTTGTATATGTTTGTTTCTAAAGATAATTGAGGCTTCTTATTTGGGGTAAAAATCTTGCAGTAATACTAAATACTAGGGCTATGCGAAGTTTGGTCACTGATTCAATTTGGCAAGAGATGCGGCCTGATTCAGCAGCCAACTGTCCAAATCCGAATCAAATCAGAGGACCCTTTAATCTCTCCAAATTG